GTATATACCATATGCAAAACACAGCTTTGAACTCTCTCAAACTTTGCTGTGAGCATTAGATTCCCATGACTGGATGACAGAAAGGGAGAGGCTGGGCCTTTGTCTCTGAGAAGTCACAGCTCTGGCCACGGCCAATGAGCTGTGAATGGAACTTGAACCTAATAAATGTTCTTTCCATGTTAGAACAGAGGGTGCCTGACCTCAGGGAGTATCTGTGCACTTGTCCTATACATTGCCTAGGAGACAGGACATAGCACATGGTAAGATGTCCCATCTCACCTCCAGAGGGCTTGTTGTGTTGCAGGAAGGGCAGGTTGAGGGCCAGGTGGAGGTAGAGATTTGGTTACCAGGCTCTGGAGCCAGCCCAGACCATGAAGGGATTAGGCTGTCTGAAGTTCATGTCTGAAGTTCATTCTGTCTTTCCCCTGTGGGTGGAGGTGTGTGGCTCCCCCCCATCTCTGTGCTGAGGATTGAACCTGAGGCTTGGTGCATGTTAGGCAAGCTTTTTACCACTTAGCTGGATAAGGAGGAGGCACACTGTAAATCTGAGTTGCCTTCTTAGCTTAGGCTACTCTACCTCAAAAGGACAGAGTAGTCAGGTGCCAGTGGCTCATGCCTCAGAAGGCTGAAATCTGAGGATCACAGTTCCCAGTGAGCGGGGGCAAGAAAGTCTGAGCAACTCCTATCTCCAAGTAAGTCGCAAAAAGAAGCTGGAAGTGGAGCTGTGACTCCAGTGGTAGAGTTTCATCTTGAGTGAAAACGTTAGAGACAGTGCTCATGCCTTCAGTTAAAGCCCAGGTACCAGAAAAATAATTAAAAAAAGAAATCAGTCCCAAATGGCTGGTCCATTTCAAACTCGAGCAACTAGCAAGCACCTAAATGGTTCTCCCCTTCCAAAGTTCCACTCTGGTGAATGTGAATGGCTCACAACCCTGCTAAAGGGGTCAGTGATCAGCTCCCTGCCTGCTGAACATATCCACCCATCCGCCTCACTCCCAAGGCTAGTAGGAACTGGAGCACTTTCCCATTGATACCTTCCCAGCAACCCTGTGGGGTAGGGTACCGTGTTGCCTGTTCACAGAGATCGAAGCTAAGGTTTGCGGGGAATAATGAACTTCCTTGGGGTTCCCTGGCCAGGAAAATAGCAGAGGTGAGATTCAAACACTGCTCTATCTGGGTGACACTAAAGGCTAGACAGTCTGCTTTCTAATCTGAAAATGGAAGTTGCTAGTACTCAAGAAAGAGTGAGTGGGTTGCTTCTATCTGGAATTCCAATCTGTGGGTGTGCTGGGGAACAAACAAGCCCAGGTGTGCTGGACTAGGATGACCTGGGACAAAGGTCCCTTACATCTGTTAGGTGTTCATTCATTAATCCAAAAGTATTTATGGAGCGCTGTAACAGTGTTGGAGATAGGAACACAAATAAGCCTGTGTTGCGCTCTGGCTTTCCATGTATTGGAGGAGGTCCTGAGCAGAGGACTGCAATGCTGAGTGTTCAGCAGGACAAAGTGCAGCACTAACTCTGCCTCCAGGATCAAGGACCTGGATCTCAGAAGAGGACAGGATTTCAAATAAGCTGTGCCCTAGAGGATTTGGACCCTGGTATGATTGGAGGTTAGCAGGGAGGTGGAGAATATGGGCGATGGGACTGTGGAGGGCCAAGGATCAACATGTATTAGACTGGGTGCTGATGCTACACCTATAATCCTTGCTACTCAGGAGATATGTGGACAGCAGTTCAAAGCCAGCCCAAATTGGAAAGGCCATGAGACTCTTCAAGTAAGCGGGAAGTGGAGCTGTGGCTCAAGTGGTAAAGCATTAGTCTTGAGTGAAAAAGCTAAGGGACAGTGCCCAGGTCCTCAGTTCCAGCCCCAGCCTTGCCCTAGGCCCTGAGTTCAAGCCCCAGGACTGGCACAAAAACAAAACAACCTGTAACTAATAAACACCCATGATCACTGATGATCAAGCACTTTTGAGTGCTTAGCTTTGGCCACAGCTGCACCTGCCCAATTAGAGGCAGATCCAGTGCCAGCTGTCCCGTGGTGGGGATAAAATAATCACTGTGAACTACTAATTCAAAGGCCAACAACTGTTTATTGAGCCCTTACTTAATGCTAGTTATTCAGGGACTTATACACATCCTTATGAAATCCAGACAACCTTGTGAGGTCACTGCCATCACCCAACTTACACAAGAGGAAGTGGAGGCTTAGGGAGATGAAGTAACTTGGCTCAAGGAAGTGCAGCGAGTATAGCTGAGCTGGCTCTGAAGGCCTGTCCCCAGCTATCACTTTGGGCCTGAGCTCAAAGGTTTAGGCCCTGTCCTGAGGATGGTAGTGAATGGTAGAGAGGCCACACATGGGCAGGGCTGGAAGATGACCTCCACCTCCTCAGGCATTGAATGGACAGCTAGTGTTCCAGGCAGCCCTCATCCTCTGCCTTGTGTTATTCTCAACGTCGCCACCCAGCCACCTAATTCTCACAGTACCTTTTCATTTCAACCCATTTCCCTTATGAAAACTAATGAGAACAGAACAGACCCCTCCATGCAAACAAACTCAGGCTAAAACTAAAGAGCATATCTCAATGATATGTTTTATGTAGAAAAGGGAGGCCTTTTAAGAAAAAAAAAATCCTTACAGATGGATGTGGTGACATACATCTGTAATCCTGGTATACTCGGGAGACCCAGGCAGAAGCATCTGAAGTTCAAGGTCAGTCTGGGCTATTTACCGAGTCTGTCTCACCTTACAGGGCTTACTGGTAATTTCTGCAACAGCAGGGTGGGGACTCCCGCAAGCTCACCGTACCAGAACGCGAGGATGTCCGTACTACTAGAGAGGTTTAGCAGGGCTGACTAGGAATGAATGAAGCTGAAGGAACTGGTTGCACAAAACGGGAGTTAAAATGTCCTGGCACAAGTGTACTCAGACAACACCTAGTAGGAATACAAGTACTTCTTATTATCTCGAAGCTTCTAGAGAAGGAAGGCCTCTCGATTGTCCACAGATCTGTTTTATAGGCAGGAGAATTGAAGCTCTGAGAATGACCGACTTCTCTGGTGACCGTGTCCCTGAGATGATTCTCTTCCTATCTCCAGTCCTAACAAATACCCACCAATGTAGGCGATATACCATCACCTGGGGGAACCCGATTCTGTGCTCATGCAGAGGCTAGGCCAGGCCAACAGCCCTCTGAGATGGCATGGATGAGTGTGAGCTATGCCATCCCTCTATGCCACACCAGTCTCCCTCCAGCCCTTCAGCAGCAAAATGAAAAGGGCAAAGGGAGGAGCTGAGGAGGTGGGGGTGATGGTTGGGGGGTTATCTAGGAGGGGGCAAAGTCCACAGGAAAAATAAAGGGGAATGCCAAATCGATGTACTCAGCACCAAGTTCAGAGTGCCTTTCTGCCTGGGAACAGAGTTCATTGGTTCCAACTCCCTGCCAGGGGTGCACCAACCTCTCCCGGATGCCAGCCTGGCAGTGGCAGGGAGTGGGAGCCTGGTGGCCATGGCATTCCCAGCATACACCTCTGGCTGGACTAGGCTCCTGATGACCTCACTTCCACCAAACCAGTTGGTCCCTCGCAGGCTCCACCTTCTCCCTCCTTGCTGAACTGTGCCACTGTCCAGGGAGGATCTTCCTGGCCCCATGGGACACTCCTGCCTCACACTGCCACCAGGTTGGGGTGTGGGGGGAGCTGGTGCCTGCTGAAGAGGCCCTGCTCCCAGGCTCTGCACACTGGCCTCCACCACCCGCCCTGCTCTCTGGGGACTGGAGGCTCAGCACAACAGCTCCTGTTTTGCCAGCTGCCCCTCCTGCAGCTGATCCAAACTGGGATAGTTTGGGGAAATACAAACTGGGCCAAAAGTAAAAAATAAAAAAAAATTTAAAAAAAAAGCAAGCAGGGGGGAGGGGGGAGGCTGGGAAGGGATGTGAAGGGTAAACAAAGGAGGAGGCTGCAATGCTTGGTAAGAAATGTACGCATTATCCTGCCCATGCAATTGTAACCCCTCTGTACAGTATGTTCACAAATAAAATAAAATTAAATTAAAAAAAAAAATAAAAAAAGCAAGCAGCCTGTTTGGTGTCCGGGTATACACCGTGACAAATACCAGGGCAAGACCCACCTGCCCACAGCGAGCTTTGGGCGCTGCCTGGCAGAGTGCCCCCTCCCTCCCCCAGCCCTCCCCCTCCTCCTCCCTCCCCCCCCTCCTCCTCCCTCCCCCCCCACCTCTTCCCTCCTCCTCCAGCCTCCCTCCAGCTCCCTGATACAAGCTAGCGCTTACTCCTCACATTCCTGAGAACCATAAATCCTCCCTGGCGGCCGGGCCACCACCCCCAGGACGCCTCCCGGCCGCCTCCTCCCCGCACCCCACCCCCACACGGCGGCCGAGAGACGCCAGGGCTCCCTCTCTTTCTTCTAAACTTGAGGAGGATGCAGTCCAGTCTGGCTGACGTTAATGATGCACTCACCAAGGGGCTCAGGAGGGGTGCGGGGAGGTATGGGAGAGCCTCCCGGGTCCCCTTCCCGGAACCGGGACGGTTGGTTACTCCTGCAGCTTTCTTAAGTCGGGGGAAGTTCACTTCCAGCTGCAGTTACCACCCACAGGGGCAGAGGGAAAAACCGACAGCCAAGGAGGAGCCAGGGGTCCTTCCTAGTCCCTGACTAGGGTGACCCAGGAAAGGGCCCAGGGAGTAGCGGGTGGACGAGGAGGTTCCGGGGGGTGGGGGTGGGGGCAACGCCGTGAGATCGGCCAAGCCCCTTCCCCAGGCCAGCGCGGATGGAGATCGCGCGCGGGGATGCAGTCTCAAGCCCGCCCAGGAACTTGCCAGGGCCCCGGCAGGGCAGGAGAAAGCAGCCTCCCCCTCTCGCGGCTCCAATTTCAGAGGGGGAAAAAAAAGGGGGGGGACTGGACTTCCCGGACGCCTGATTCTCCCCGATCCTCAACCCCCACCCCCGCCGCCCTCTTCTCGCCGCGATCGTGGTCCGCACTCACCCGCTCCGGGTGGCTCTTCTCGGCTTCGTGCGCCTCGCGCTGGTCGCCGGCCTCCTGCGTCTCGGCGGCGGCCGGCGGCTCGGCCGACCCCCCCGGCCCCTCCGGGCCGCGCAGCAGCTGCTCCCCGATCGCGACGCCGAGCTTCCTGAGCTGCTCGTCCGCCTCGGGGTCGACCACCAGCAGGCGCACGGCGCTGAGCGCGGCGCGGATGCGGCTCACCACCTGCTGGTGCGTCTCCTTCTCCACGTTCTCGCCGTTCACCTCCACCAGCCGGTCCCCGGCCAGCAGCCCCGCCTTCTCCGCCGGCGAGCCCGGCTCCACCAGCCGGATGAACTGGCCCACCTTGCCCTTCTCCCCGTGCAGGTGGAAGCCGTAGCCGTTCGGGCCCTTCTCAAGGCAACAGAGCCGGGGCACAGGTGCCCCGGCCGCCGAGTCCGCGCTCATGTCGCGCGGCGACGGCTCCGCGGGATCCCGCCGGGAGCTGCGGACACGGTGGCCGAGGTTTCCTCTCCGCCCTGAGCGCTGCGAAGCCGGAGGGAACGCGGCGGGAGGCGCCGAGCGAGCAGGTGTCCCGGGAACCGCCGCGAACTCGGAGAACCGGACCGGGAAACGCGGACCAATCCCCGCCCCGCGCGGCGTCTGAGCCTTCCAGAACCCGCCCGGCCCCTAATCCGCTGGGCCGGGCCGCGCGGCGGGTGTGGACCACTTTGGACCAATCAGAGGCCACCAACCGAGGGGCTCTCGGGCCGGGTGAACCACATTGGCCAATGGGAAGGCTCGGGGGCGGGGCCTTGAAGTTGGCGCGGCGCCCCGCGGCGGGCGAAGAAAGAGGGCTCAGGAAGTGGAAGTGTTCGTTACCAAGTGCCGGGTTGGGTTGGCGGGGCGGGGCTGGGGCAAGTTCCAGAGACGGCGCAGAGCCCCCAACCCCCGCCCCTGCTCCCCGGGGCTGCGATCTGGCTTCTCATCCCCCGCAACGTGGTGATTGAGGAGAACCAGGCGCCCCCCACACCGTGAAGGACCCTCACGTCTGAACGGAGCCGGGGACTGTGAGTGGGGAGAGCGCCCCTCGCCCCGCCCTGGGCCCCCTTGGGCCCGGGTGTGTGTGTGTGTGTGTGTGTGGAGGGGCGTCGTAAGAAACTGGACCGATGGTTTCTTTGGACAATGTTGAGTTCTTTGGACGACAGCTCTTCTACTTGTGGGGTGACTGCACGATCCCAGAATCTGCATGCATGGAGTGGAAGGCTATTCTACCTGTAGCCCGCCATGGAGGACAGGCCACACGCAAGGAGCGAGGCGTGGCACCGGCGTCAGCGTGTATTTAGGAAGGTGGGGTGGGGAGAGGTAAAGTCGGGCAATCAATCTCAGGATCCACTCCTGAGGGAAAAGGAGCTCTAGCTTTTTTCAACAGAGAAACAAACAAAAAATGACTGTGAGAGAACCTTTGTGGCTCATTCTTGTCAAATGAGGATTGTCACAGAGGCTGGTGGCAATCGGTTAGTGAGGTGTCCCTCTGCGAACACCGAAAAATGGGTATCAAACGATTTTGGTAAGGACAAGTCCCCCTCCCCCCCTCCTCCCTGAGATACAATAACAACCCCTCCTTCCCATACCCACTTCAAACAAACAGCAGACAGAGTATACTCTCCAAAATACTGCAATTTAATCTGAAAAACACCACAATGCTGGAGGCTCAGAGCTGTCTGTGCCACGGGACCGCCTGTAACCTGCCACAGGCCCCAGAAGAGACCAGCAAGGTCAGACTCCTCCCTGCTCTGCCTGGGAGAGGCCACCGTGAGCTTCCTTATCGCCGGAGCTGCTGATTGCTCCAACTGCAAGATTTCTGCCTTGAAATCAAATGCCTCAGAAACGTACAGGGCATGCTTTTTCTCACCTCCTCCCCCACCCTTGGCCTGCAGAGCTGCAGTTAAGGTACCTGTAGGTCAAATCCCGAGTTTTTCCCCTGATCACTTCCAAGGTCGAGGTCAGAGTTTTGGGAGATGTGTGTCCTTGGGCCTACACAAGCTCCTTGCTGTACTTCTCCCCACCCCAGACCACATGACTTTGTTTTGCATATATTATATTTGTTCACCCAGAAATGGATGACTTTCCACTCCTTAACCTGACTTAGGAGAGGAGGGATATAGTGCAGTTTGGATCCTGATGTCTGCATTCAGCAAGCTGCCAGTGGCTCAGACCTATAATCCTAATTACTCAGGAGGCTGAGATCTAGAGGACTGAGGTTTGAAGTCTATGAGCCTCTAATCTACAATAACTACCAAAAAGCCAGAAGTGGAGCTGTGGCTTAAGTGATAGAGTGCCAGTCTTGAGCAACAAAGTGAAAGGGCAATGCATAGGCCCTGAGGTCAAGCCTTAGTACTGCTGGCAGAAGGAAGGAACAAACGAAAGAAGGGGGGCGTGGGGAGGGAGGCAGGGAGAATGGGAGGAGGAGAACTTGGACTTCCATGTTCTTTCAGGGAGGTTTGCTCAACTCTGCCTCCTACCCTGCTCCCAGAACCAGGAGTTTCTCTCACTGTGGCTCTTAACCTAGCCAGCTGATCATTATAGGATCTTGGAAAAGTAAGTAGCTATGGGGCTGCACACTTGCCAATTGATTGGGGAGGGGAGAAAAAAAAACTTCCTAGTTCTGACTGCAGGTGTTTAGAGGCATAAACAAAGGCAGATGAGACAGGAATTGAGGGGTAGGGATTTAGGGGTGAGGAACTCCCCCGGACTCGGAAGTCCAGAGAATAGGAACCAGTGTTTCCAGGTGCCTCTGTGTGCTTGTGTGCTGGGGAAAAGGGGCAATTAGGAAGGATCGTAATCTCTAGTGATCCTCTCTCTCTGTCCCAAAGGCAACAACTGTTACCTTCCCTGAGGCTTTGGTCTAGCTCCCAATACAAGGGCCCATCTTGCTAGGGAAGATTGCGCTCTTGCATCTGTGTCATCTGGTGATGAAGTGGGCACTACCGGCCTTGTTGTTAGTCGGGGGCAGGGGGAGACCCAGTTTTTTACGTCTGAATCCCAAGTACACCAAGAGAAAAGGTTTTTCTGGGCACGCTGGGGCCTTTTTTTTTTTTTTTTGTATTATGTGTCATTCTGATAAAAAATGTGAAGTATTTTACCCGCTCCTAGGATGTAAGACAGTACAGGCAGTGGGGTAGGGACTGTGCACTAGAGCCTCAGCTCTCTCCCCATTGGCTAGACTGCTCAGCATAAGCCAGTGGAGGGGAGACAGCTGCATCCCTGAGGGCCTCTGCTCAGCCCCTTGGGAGTCACAGGAAGGAGCAGCAGCTGGGGCGCTGCCTCTGGGACTCCACGTAGTCTCGGATCTGGAAGCTGGGTTCATTGGCCTGCCGCCCTGCGCGGTATTTCAGCTCTCTAAACAGAAGAGGAAGAATGGATTGGCTTGAGAGTGCAGAATATTTATTCTCCACCCACATTGCCAGTGGCCAGGACCACCAGGAGCTCAAAATGCAGAATATAGGAGGGCCCAGGGCCTACGGAGGAGCTAGGCTTATTGGATTCCCAGGTGGTGCCACCCTGACCTGTAATGGTCCCCTTCCCTACTCAGTGCTTACTTGGCAATGGCTAGAAAGGCTAACTCCACGTTCATGCCTGTCTTGGCACTGGTTTCCATGAAGGGAACCCCGTACTCCTGTGGGGGAAGGAGAGAGGGTCCTCAGGGCCAGTCTCTGGCTACCCCCACCCCACCCCACCCCATCCCATTGGTAGTCACTTACCCTGGCCAATGTCTCTCCATCCTCCATGCGTATCATCCTTTCATTGCTCACATCTGCCTGTCAAACACAGAGGGGGGTCACTCCAGGGAAGGAAGCCTTGATCCCAGCTGGCCCAACTTTTGCCCCAGGAGCAGGCATTGCCTGCCCTCTGCTGGTGACTACGAGAAGCAGGTGTGATTGGACTGGAGCCAGGGTTTCTGCCTTGTTTGGGCTGCCTGCCCATAATATCCAGGCCTGGGATCTCATCTCTGACCCTGGGAGATGAGTAATTCTCTTTAGCAAAGGGTGTGGTGACCCAGCCTCGGTGGGGGAAATGACAGCAGTTGGGGATAACCCATTATAACCCTAGCCCTTGACCCTTGACCCTATTCACTATGATCTCATGGTGGCTGGCAGTTGATCAAGTCTACATCTCAGAGCACAGCTTGGGCTTTCCCTAGGAGGGATGAGATAGGTGGAAGTGACCAGGCCGGGTCTAAGTCCTGCCTGGAGATGAGTCATTGACCAGGGTAGGTGGAAGGAGAGGAGGGGCAGGGTGGGCTGCTCCTGCCACTGGACCACTCACCTTGTTGCCTAGCAGCATGATTACCACATCCCTCTGGGCATACTCGTGAATTTCTGTGAGCCAGGCCTATGGGAGAGGAGGAACTGAGCCAAGCCAAGGCTGATAGCCAGGCCATTCTTCTGGAGGGCCCTGTTGAGGATTCTAAGACCATATAAGGGGGGTCAGTGATCAAAAGTAATGTGATTGGCCGAGTGTGGTGGTATATACCTGTAATCTCAGACGAAGAGACAAGAAAAGAATTCTAGGCCAGCCTGGGCTACATAGCAAGACTGATTCTGTCTTAAAAAAATAACCAACCCACCAAACAACAACAACAAACAACTCCTGATGGCTGGGGATGTAGCTCAGTGGTAGAGCACTTACATGAGGTTCTGGGTTTCATTTTCAGCACTGGGATTGATTAGTTGTGTCTGCCACGAGCCTGGGCTAAGGAATGGCGGTATGAATGCCATGAACTTCCCGTTATTTTATGTCTACATGCCTTGTCCTCCCAGTTTGCTTGTCAGTACAGTTCTTGAGGTCAGGGAATACGTAAAACCTGTACAATGTTTTGCATGGAATCAGCGCTTATATTTATGAGATGATTTCCTGTGTTTTCTAATGGTTTGCTTGTGAGGACTTAGCCACTCACTCTGTCTTGCCTGAGTTGCAGCTCAGTCTGAATAGGCTTTGCCCTGGGTTTGTACGGATAAAAGCCCAGGGCAGAGCTAGAACTGTTCTGAACACTTTGACATGAAGCACACTCATGAATCATGGTCAGGACGACGCAGGTGGCATGCTGCACAATAGCCTGCTTGGCCTCCAGGCTCGCATGGCAATCAGATGCCCAGACACAGCTGGGGGTTTCTTGGCAGGTGCCAGGATTCCATGGTCTGCTCATTCCCACAGAGCTGGAAAGAAGCTGGCCAGCAGAAGCCCCATCTCGGCAATTTCTCCAGAAAGGAGGACCTACCCTGATGTTGTCGAAGGAGGACTTATTGGTGATGTCATACAGCAGCAGCAAGGCTGGAGGGGGACAGAGAATGACAGGGGATCAGGGAAGCGGCACGGGTGGGTGTTGCAGACAGGCTGGAGGGAGGTGGACGTACCCTGCGCATCTCGGTAGTAGGCGTGCGTAACGCTGCGGAAGCGCTCTTGGCCTGCGGTATCCCAGATCTAAGAAGGGAGGAAAAGGTCAGAAAGGAGGCAGGGGGCAGGGACTGCTGTGGCAGAGCAGCTGTCTGTGGAAAGGGGGGGGGGGCTGGCTGGCTGCAGTTATAGGTTCTTAAGGTCTCTCTGGTGTTTGACAAGGCCAGGCACTGGTGGCTCACAACACTGGCTACTCAGGAGGCTGAGATCTGAGGATCCTGGTTTGAAGCCAGCCCAAGTAGAAAAATCTATGAGACTCTTATCTCCAATTACCCAGCAAAAAGCTAGAAGTGGAGCTGTGGCTCAAGTGACAGAAAATGAGTCTTGAACAAAAAAGGCCAGTGAGAGTGTGAAGCCTTAAGTTTAAAACCCAGTATTAGCATGCCTGTGCACGCGCGCGCACACACACATAATGACATCACCCATTTGGTGCTGCCTCTTTTTACAAGTCTGTGTGTGTGTGTGTGTGTGTGCAAAGAGCCCCAGTGTGTGTGTGTGTGTGTGTGTGCAAAGAGCCCCAGATAATTGGGGAAGAGATGGAGGGACGGCTGAGGCATTTTAAGTATGGTTTTCTTCAGACAGGGCATAGAGAAAAACCATTTCCTCTCATGGGCCCCACAGGAAGTTACCCCAGCAGAGGGGCTGGGCTGCAGGCCTCTGTGGTTCAGGGTGAAGAGCGATTGAGGTCAGGCACCACTACCACCTCCCTTCCCCCTCCCAGCCTCCGGTCTCACCTGCAGCTTCACCCTGGTGCCATCCACGGTCACCACCTTGTTCTGAAAGAGAAGAAGGCGGAGGGTGGGGAGGGCAGGGGAAGCTGGAGCCTCAGCCCTGACATCTTGTCCTGGTCGCTTTCCAGGACTACAGGCAATGTGGTGAGCCCAGACCTATCTTTACTCAGATCACCCCATCAGATAACTCCACTGAAGACTCTTCTCCTAACACAACAGAGCAAATCTGCGTGGCTCTCTCCAGAGCTCAGCCAGCAGCATGGGGACAGCACTTGCCCACCCCATGACTGTCACCAAGTCCTCGGAGACAAGGGGCCCTCAGATAGCTGGGTCAGCTTCTCTCTACCTGCCCACAGTTTGCTCAGTGCCAGATGGGATGTGTGTGTGTGTGTGTGTCCTGCAAGTGAGAGGCTCTCTTATGCAATGGTGGTGGGTCAGCCCTCTTAGGGGCAGTGCCCAGGAGTAGAGGAGAGACTCAGCCTTGTTTGTCACATCAAGTAAGTGGGCAGGGTGCTGCCCTGCTCTGATGGCTCTCCTCTAATCTGGCCACCTCCATTGTGGTGGAGAGGGCTGTTGGGGTCCTCCAGGCAGTGAGCCATGGATGTCCTTGGGAGCCAGGGGGAGGGGCAAGGGAGAGTAGCCCCCTGATCCTGAGCTCTAGCCAAGGCTCACTGCTGGGAGGAGGAGCCTATAGCCACCTCACCCTGAAGTCTATGCCGACCGTGGCTATGAAGGTCCCGGACAGGAAGGCCCCATCTTTGAATTGGATCAGGAAACAGGTTTTGCCGACACCAGAGTCTCCCAGAAGCATCACCTAGGAGATTGGGGGGAGGGAGGGAGGGGGAGGCAGTTAACAAGGATTGGGGAGAAGGGGACCTCTGGGATTCTAAGGAGAGATGTGGAAAAGGGATCAGTGGCGGGGAGAGACAGGATTGAGGGGCACCCCTGTCACAGAGAGCCTGCCACTGTCTCCTGTGTCTCCTCTTCATGCTCCTTGCCTGCACCATCCAGACCTTCCCTCTGACCCTCCATCCCCATGCAATGTCCCGGAAGCCAAGTTGAGACTGCCATTGTGTTTAGTGGCCCCAAAGAACCTCCCATTTGTGTGCTCTAGACTTTGCACACCTTTGTCCACTGCCACATAGCTCAGGGAGTCTGTCCCTTCTGTGTGTGCCACTTAGGTACGGGTACATGGGTGGGACAGGACCCCACTCCAGAAAGTTTATCAGAACCTAATAGATAGGCGTGGGCTACTGGCCCAGGCATATTTAAAATGACCATTGTTTGGGTTTCTTTTTAGGTCAGGCATTTATCTGGAAGTTTCTAATGAGGGTTTCTGTGTAAAAAGACTTGCATGAATTAGGGAAGGGTAGAATTTACACTGTGATGAGGAGACATTTAGTCTGAAATTCTTTCAGAAGAAACCTCCTAAATGGGACAAATGGCTGCCCTGGGTCATTGCAGGGAACATGGAAGAATGGGGGAGGGAAGCTCTTTGTCCACTTGTTATTTTAGTCTTTAAAAAAATAAATAAAAAATCATTCGTGGGGCCTGAACTCTGGGCCTGGGCGCTGGGTCTCAGCTCTTCAGCTCAAAGCAAGTGCTCTACCACTTGAGCCACAGCACCACTTCCCACTTTTTCTGATTTATGTGGTGCTGAGGAATGGAACCTAGGGCCTCATGCATGCAAGGCAAGCACTCTATCACTGAGCCACCTTCCCAGGTCCATCCTTTAGTCTTAAAAGATCATCTATACCAAACTGCCTGTTAAACTGTTAATGAGGGTGTGTGTGTGTGTGTGTGTGCGTGTGCGTAGACACACACAAGTGGGACACAGACACACACACACACACACACACGGACCAGTACTGGGGCTTAAACACAGAACCTGGGCACTGCTCCTTTTTTTACTCAAGGCTACCTCATGAGCCACAGCTCCAACTGCTGTGGGCTTTTTTTTTTTTTTGCCAGTCCTGGAGCTTGAACTCAGGGCCTGCGCACTGTCCCCGAGCTTCTTTTGCTCAAGGCTAGCACTCTACCATTTGAGCCACAGTGCCACTTCTGGCTTTTTCTATTTATGTGGTACTGAGGAATCGAACCCAGGGCTTCATGCATACTAGGCAAGCACTCTACCACTAAGCCACATTTCCAGCCCCCTGTAGGCTTTTTTTAAAAAGTAGTTAATTGGAGATTTGCATCTCACAGACTTTCCTGCCTGGGCTGGCTTTGAACCAATATCCTCAGAGCTCAGCCTCCCCAGGAACTAGGATTACAGGTGTGAGCCACTAGTGCCTTGCCTAACTAGGCTGTTGAATTGAGGTTTGCAGCTTGAGTGGAGCCCAAAGCTTTCCTGCCATGGCTGTGGGGGTGGAGGGGGGGTAGGATTAGTTAGCTTTGCTGGAGAGACAGGGGGCCTGAGTAGGGGAGTGTAAGGTGGGGTCCTGGCTTGTAAAAGGCAGGCTGTATGACTTTGGGAAGGTTCCTGAGATTTGTTGCTGCAGTCTGGTCTCCACAGTATGTGAATGGGAGGAAGGATCGTTTCTTCCAGGTCTTTCTAGAGTTTGTCAACTGCTGGGGACTACAATGTTGGGGTGAATCAACCCTCGGCCTCAGGGAGGAGTGGCCCAGGAAGGGATGGGTGGGTTCAGCCTGTTAGTGCCCTCACCTTTCTTCTTTTCTTTTGGTCGGTCTTGGGGCTTGAACTCTGGGCCTGGGCGTTGTCCTTGATCTCCTTTCCTCAAGGCTAGTGCTCTATCACTCTGAGCCATAGCTCTACTTCTCCCATCCCTCTTTATCTGGGCTGAGACTCAGGATTGGGGAATGACTCTTTTGCAGGCGCAGCCTTGGGTCAAGGGACAGACGGGGGTGGGGAGAGAGAGGGTCCTCTGGACTCTCTGCGCCTCCCAGCCTCAGATGAGGAGGGAGGGAGGCAGAACCAGTGTCTGTGTGCTTTACAGATCACAGCTGCCTTGAGTAAACCATCCACCCAGCCACCCGGCCAAGCAAGTCCACTAAACACAAACAGCCGCTCAGCTTCGCCACCTCCTAGGCAAACAGCCCAGCTGGCTTGTAGGGCAACAAGGTCGGGAGGTCCCCATCAGTCAGGGGGAGGCTGGCCATCCACAGCTCCCCTCACCCCAAGGTGCAGAGGCCCATTTCCGGCCACAAGCCCACACAGGACGCTTATCTCAACGGTTCTGGGCTGGTGGCCCATAGCCTGGCTTCCCTTGAAATGCTGGGGTGGAGGCTCGAGGCTCCCAGTGAGATGGAGACTCACTGAGGGGGGAGGAAGGGAAACAAAATGTGAAGTGTAGGTCTGCTCCTCATGTCTCTCAAGAGTTCCTGGCAGCCAGGAGTGGGTGGCTCACGCCTATAATCCTAGCTACTCAGGAGGTTGAGATCTGAGGATCATGGTTCAAAGCCAGATCGGGCAGCAAAGTCCATGAGACTCTTATCTCCAATGAACCACCAGAAAACTGGAAGTGGGGCTGTAGCTCAAGTGGTAGAGAGCTTGCCTTGAGGTGAAGAGCTCAGGGACAGCACCCAGGCCCAGAGTTCAAGCCCCACGACCGACCAAAAAAAAAAGAGTTCCTGGCATTACCTGTCTTATGAAATCCATTTTATGTAATCCATTTTGTCCAACTCAATAATAATAACTCCTGCTGAGGACACACACAGAGGGAGGAGATAGACCACTGTTCACCCTGCCCCTACCTACTTCCACACAGGGTACCCTGCAGATAGTGTGCACCTCAGAGCTGCCCTGCCAGCTGTCCCAGGTGGTGGAGGTTGACACCAACCCCTTCAGTCCTTCTCAGGTTCTAGAAACTTCCAGGTGGGCCTGTGCCCTGGCTAGCAAAAGCCACCTGGAGAGGGTGGGGCCTGACCTTGCAGCTGGGAGGGCTTGATCAGTCAATAACTTCAAGCCTTAGGCTTTAAAACTGGAAGTCTGGTCTCTACTGAGAGACCAGAAAAAGGCATTAGAGTGACCCAGGCCACCCAGGGTGCCCTTTCTGAGTCTCTCTCTAGTAGGGGGAGATGGAGGTCGCCTCTATTTCTCAGCTCTTGCTCGTCTATGCCAACCAGGGCTATGCACTTAACCCTGGACAAGAGGCACGGAATCTCTGGGCCTCATATTAGCTAAAGCATGGCAGAAGAGAACTGGCGTGGGGTGCGCGGCGTGGGGAGCCTCAGCCTTCTTATCCTGTGCCCTCCGAGCTAGCCCAGATCCCGAGATACGGATGTGGCCGCCCCCAGGGGCTGCATCTTCATCTCCCTGCCCTCCTCTGGGGGCGTCCGTTCAGAGGACTGATTGGAGGAAGGGCTGAGTCTACCTCAGAAGCAGTCAGAAAAGAGTTCCGGGCCGGGGAGGGCCGGGGTCCCAGGGCGCAGGGAGGGGTGTCCTGCAGAGCGGGCACAGGAGTCCCAGCGCTGGGAGCAGCGCCCACCCACCTTGCCCGTGAGATCGTAGCTTGGACTGCAGGGAGGGGAGCGCTCGTGGGCCTCGCCATCCCGGGAGGCAGCGGCGCCGGGTGTGCCGGTCATGTCCCCGGATTGATGAGAGGTGAACCCGGGCTCGCCAGCCGCGGAGGAGCAG